TATATGAGGAGTTATTGGAAGATTATGGTTGTTGTTTATTGAGAACTATGTGTGTTTCGATAAAAGAAGTCTGTAATTACAGAAATTATGTGAATTCAGATTGTTAGAGTGAAGTCTATTATTCTTGGTGTTGGATGGAAATTATTGTGTTTTGAGCGGTCTTTTGACAGTGCAGGATTGCACATTGTTGTTATCAGTTGATGAAGGAGTATTGTTACTGGGAGAAAGCATTGTAGTGTTTATTAGTATTTCAATGGTTTGAAATATGGTTAATTGTGTGTCTTTAACAAGTAAAATTCATGTATTTAGTCTTTTTTTGTGTTCAAATTTTCCTATACATGTTTATTCTGAAAAGAATTGTAAAATAAGTAAAACGACAACCACAAGAGGTAGCTTCTAAAGAGACAATTTTTTTTAAATATTTATAATAGTATAACTTAATAATTGAGTTCACAATCCTATCATGTTTACATTCTTTTGGTCTTGTCTATTTTATATGATATGGATAGTCAAAACATAGATACCATGTCAGTTATACCATTTCAATCAAGTAGCTTGCAGAGTTGACTCCGAATTGAAGAGCTGTTTAAACCACAAAGACAACAAAAGATACACAGTAATATATTATTGGTAATTGTGTTTGAGGTAGAATTTATTTATAAAGGACGTCCAAAAGATATGTTTGTAGAACATTTTCATAACAAAGATACCAAAGTTCATGCTTGGTCACAAACAGAAGGCTTGGGGCACTATCAATGGCTACAAGGGCCTATGAACCATTTATCTCGCAATAAACAAATAGAATATATAGTGGACACCATGCGACAGGTCTTCAACTTCTTGCACATATATTGACTTACATTAACATTGCTTCTTAGAAACCTCGAAGCTAGAGGAGAAAATAATGTTATGGATATACAACTAAAGAAGATTCGAGAAGGTTCTAGGAAGTTCTAGAAGATTTTAAAAGATTCCAAAAGTTTTTAATAAATTCTAAAAAGATTCTAGAAGGTCCTAGTAGATTCTAAGAAAGTTTTAGAAAGTAATAAGAGATCCTAGAAGATTTTAGGAGGCTTTAGATGATTTTAGAAGTTGTCAAAGAAGGATCTTAGGCTTGTTTTATTTCCAAGCCTCATGAAAACTTTTCAAGAAGCTTCCTAGGATCTAGTATATATAGGAATCTAGACTAAGGGGATCCTCAGTCTTGACAATTCACTTCTTATAGTCTAGCTAAGACCTTCTTGTCTTGTATCTAGTTATTATTCTAATTTTGAACTAATTCTATTTTTTGGTCTTGAATCCTTGTCTTGTATATGGTTCCTATTACTAGCAAAAAATCTTACAAATGCAATGAAGAAGGTGGAGGCTTTTCATCAACGACATCCATCAAAACCAAGATGAATACTTTTTTTTTTAAAAAAAAAAAAAAAAAAAAAAAAAAAAAAAAAAAAAAAAAAAAAATCTAGACAAGATAACATTCTAATTTCTATCTTTGTTATAGCTTCTTTGTATTTGTGACACTAAGAAGATGGAGAACCAAAAACCAGTGGATTTGACTTAAGAGCCTTCATTTAGTGAGCTTCTAATCAAGAAAGTGTAATTGCCACAATCTTCAAGATGATGCAATCAAGATGAAGATCTTCAAGAATAATATGTTCTTCCTAGAATAGATGGCGAGATACAATGCATTTGGTATCATGACCTTGAAAGGGACTCTCAATGTTTGGTGATTTTACTAGAAGTAGAAACAACTCTTGACAATGTTTCAAATGTTTTATTTAAAGGAAGCTATGAAGGCCTCAACAACAATCAAATAACTAAGTGGTCTTTCCATACTGGTATGAGATACTATCAATAGTTGAGAGGCCCTATCAACCATCTTCAAAGAGAACAAAGATCAGAGTATGTAGCAAATATAATTTGCCGCATCTTGGATTTTCTCAACATATGATGACCGCTTTTCATAGAACTTGTTTTCAAAAGGAGAGATAATATCATGGACATATACATATAAACCAATAATTATCTATATAATTAGATAAAAGTAGATTAATTCCATAATATCTGCTATAAAAGCTTCTTAGAATTTTTATAGATATAGTTTTAACTTCACAAGTATCTATAATTGTCTTTTTAGGTTAAAAACATGGTCAATAAATTGGTTATGTGCTATACATGTTAGTAGCTTGAAGAACAATCTAATTATGTGGTGCATACATAGAAAACTTGCTTTATAAGCTAAGGTATGTGTCTTGCAAAGTCAACATATATTAGAGGTCTTATTGAACATCACAACATAGCTCCTAATTAGATAGTATTTTAGAGGCAAGAGGGTAGCCTTCTTCATTCTTGTCAACTCCTTTCTTGCTTCTAGTCTAGATTCAAGAGTCTTTAGTCTCCTTGTCTTTTGGCACTAGCCATTCCAGTTTCTTTTAGTATACATACTACTTTATTTCTATTTTGTCACTTTTCTTTTGACATGGATTTCATACATTTATGCATCTTCTTTCAATTCATGTCTCTGACAAGCTTTTAGGTTGCTTTTTTAAAAAATATTATAAAATTAATCTATTTTTATTATTTTTAAAAGATATTATAAAATTAATCTATCTTGTGTCCATCATGAACTCATAGTTAGTGCCATACTTTGTTTTGTATACTTTCATTTTAAATCATGATTGCATGCAACCAATAATTAGTAGCATTCTCCATTAGTTATTTACCTTAGCTATAGTTTAAGAAGAAACATTCAATCTCAAGAAAAATTCTTAATTTCCAAAAAGAATAAGAAATTCTTATAACAAAGATTGGGTGACTCATGTGATAATAATCACAAAAAATTGAAATAAGACTAAATAGTCAATCTCCCAGGATTATGCTATTAAAGTGGTATAAATCTTGTCTTACTAAAATATGGATCTATTACAAATTAAATATGTTGCAAAATGTGATCAATCTAAAAAAAAAACTATCACTTTTAATATAGCAACTTTTAATGACTACAATTTTGAATGTTGGATGTTAGTATATTCTATCAAAAAACAAAAAACAAATCCTATTAAAAAAATTATAAAAATTAAAAATTAAAAGAAACTTCTGATTTAATAAACATAGTTTTTACTTTAAATTGAAGCTCTAGCAAAAACAACAACAACAACAACAACAACAACAAAAATAAATAAATAAATAAATAAATAAATAAACTTGTAATGATCCCAGTTATGGCAAAAAGGTGAAGAGAACTTATCATGAAACATGAAGACTTCAAAAAGAAGAAGAGGCATTGATGATTGTGGAAGACAAGAAGCAACTAAATTTATTGGAGGAAGATCAAAAGCTTTAGCCACAACTTGAAAATATTATAACCTTGAGCACTGAGGTGAGGCATAGAGGTGGTAGCAACAAGCATTGTGGTTTTCCTACCTTTAATTTCTATCTACCTCTAGAAGGCTTGTGGTGAGGCTTGTGGTGCATGGTAGTAGTAGCAATGATTGCAGTATGCCTACAATTCAATTTTAGGAGGAAATTGCATAAATGGCCATATATTATTTATACAAAGATCTTATTTTCTTTAAAAAATTTTAAAATTAACTTGATTTACAAAATATAGATGTTTATACCATAGTTTTGAATTCAATCCTTTTAATAATAAATTCTTTATTACTTTAGTTAAAACTTAATGATTTATTTATCTATGTGGTTCTATTGGTTATAATTATAAATCTTAAGTAAAAAATTTAATTTGTGTGCAATATAATTAAGTTTTATGGTACATGGATACTAAATCTTATATCTACTATTGAATTTTTAGTAGATTACATGTCAAATATTAAAAGAGCGTATTTAGTCTTATAGAGTGCTTATTAAATATGGTAGAGATAATTAAAGCCATATAAATATCCTATTATAATGGTAGCAAGTAAATAAGATATTTTAATGTAATAAGATTAGCAAATTCAATCCAAGACTTAATGTTAAATATTTTCTTAGTGAGCTATTACATATATGTTATAATATATATCCATTTATATATATATATATATATATATATATATATATAAGATAATGCATATTATTTCATATTGTTGATGTAAAGTATAGCATTTTAATAAATGATTGTCATGAATTTATTAAAATAACTCCAATTGTTTAAAATATTAAAATTAATATTTTTTGAAACTAATTTATGAAACCATTAAAAAACCAATTCATGTTTAATATTATTTATTAACAAATTGGTTGTTGTATCTTTTATTTATGTCAATAATACAATATTCCCATAATATTAAGAATACTTTTCACTAAAAGCAAAGCTATAGAAACAATATTCATCATAAGTGATGTACTTTGATAAATATTCATTTGACTTTGGATATAGGTTGAATGTAATTAATCATTCATATTATGTGTTTAATTTGCACTTTCATATTTTTACCGATTTTTTATTCAAAAGAGTACCGTTTCTTTTTCCAAAATTTTGCTGGACTGCAATATAGATATTGCAATTTCGAAATCGAAATCGACAGCAGAAAGATAAATGTAAACAAAAGCTTAAATGTTGCAAGTGAAATAATTTACTTGGACTGTTTTGTGCATGTTAATGATGACATTATTTAACTATAATCTGTATCAGCAATTTGACTAATATAAAGCCAAAAAAATTTATTGAACGCTTATGACATGAACATTTTGCTGCGGTGAGCAGTAATGCAAAATTCACGCCGCTTGCTCTGAACTTCCTGCTACTGTCCAACAGGTTCTTTACCAAATGCAGTGCTGTAATCCAAAGTCCAAGAGATAATCATGGTCATTTGAGAAAGTGATGTGACCAAAACATGCGATAATCAGAAGTATTTAAGAACCTCAATAAGACCATACAATATTAACAAAAAAAATCAATGTCACGGCATCGCAGTCTACTTCAGAGAATAAAATGACTTCAGTAAAGACTGTAGTAAGTTTACATTACATCTGTAACCACTTGGAAAACGCACACAGAATATGAAAGTAAAGTTCATTTTCTCGTATCAGAGCTGTCTTAAGAAAAAAACTGCATTGAAAAGGTATAGGTAGAATTTTGTGAGTTCGATCATCACTGATTCCAAAAGAATAGGATGGACACCACTGTCTGTATACAATACATGTGAGAATACAGTAGATACGAAGAGAGGAGCCCAGGCAATGGCACTGGACTCTCTTGCATCTACCGTCTCCCCTTAAAAGCGGTACACTACTCCTAAATAAACCACCCAGTTATCGTCTTAAAACTGTGAAGAGTTGTGCAGCTCCTTTCCCTCCTACATGTCCACTGTCTCATCTATGCAATAGCAGGTACTCTGTCCAGACTCTTCCTCAGAAGTTTCAATGGATGCGAACTGTCGTCTCGTACTCGGACAACTCTGGGCGACCCCAACTTTCTGTGTCGAAAACCAAGAACATCCAGGATCTGGTTGTCAGCGAATGTGAACGCCCTTTCCATCTGCTTGAAGCATGTATCCACAGGGTAGTCACCTCCGTTCTTTAGGCAAGGTTTGCACCCAACAAAGTGAGTAATAAATGGCCACCTGTCATCTCCGAATCCAGGGTGGCTCTTCGCCATGTTTTCCTCGTACTTCCCAACCAAGTCTACCCAGTACCCATGCAAATAGTACGAATTCTCAAGCATCACCTTTTTCGCCCACTCCTGCCTTTGGGTAATAAGCAGATACACTAGAGCAGATTGATCGTCCGCCTCGAAGTTCGTCCTCCCGGTCAAGCTCTTGGACAACATTTCACCTGCAAGATGCATCATACATTCAGTTTAAAATCATGCAGCTATCACCACAAGCACCTCATATTAACAACCAGATTCATCTACCGCACCAAAACGACATGTAAATTAATTTTATGACACATCATTCAACAGGGAAAACTAGCCAACGTAAAAATCTTAAAAAAAGGAAGTCAGCATCCATACCTGCTTGGTTCCTAACGATTCCTCTCGGTCCCATGGGTGCCCAGGCGTCCAAAAGATCCAGAGACCATTGGCAATTGCGAATTAAAAAACTTCCAGTGTTCAGACCTGTCCACAGCTTCTGCTGATACACTTTGTCGTCAAAACCGTGCAACACAAGATTGAAATTCTCATAGTGTTCCAAAGGCACCTCAAAGGACATGTCAGTGAACAATGCATCACTGTCCATCCACCAGATCCACTCAGTCTCCGGATTAGTCAACATCAACCTGCGAATGAGGGGTAGTTTCGCCCAAAATCCTGTCATCTCTTGGTCCAAGTGCGCCATATTGTAGAAAATCTCCATGTTGTGCAGCCGTGCGTAGTCGAGTTTGTTCTTTATAGACTTCAATAAAAAATTATCGCCTTCAGCATTATCGCAGCTAGATGGCTGGGAGCCCGTCACGAGCAACACCCGCGGCCTCCCTTTCAGATTGAGACTTAGACTGTTCTCAGACATCCATTTCTCTCTCTGACCGTCCCAGTCGTTAATCTTGGGTCCTAGGCTGTATGTCACCAGTGGATCCTCTCTTAATTCCTCGGTGACATCGTTGTTCACCATATCAGGCGAGGTCTTTTCATCAACTTGATTCAAAACACGCACAGCATGAAACTCCCGCGTAGCAGACCGAAGATGAGCCCTTATTTCTTCAAAATCTTGGGCGGGAGTGCCAAAATTTCCCGCGCCAATCGTCCCGCGAAGCACCAAAATAGTCATAAGACCGCACAAAACTGTGATTTTCATGTTGTTGATGGACCTCTGTAGTCGTCGGCCTTTCGCAGTGGCCATAGATCTCTGAACGATGTTAGAGATCTTCATGGAAACCAGCGTTTAAAAAACACTAATAGATGTAACACAATTACTCTAACGGTAGCAAAAACAGTCGCCGTGTGACGGCAACGAGTGGCAATTATAGCGAAAATATCGCTACCGCGTTCGGCAGAACCGGAGTAGAGGCAATGACAAGAACCGTTGAACTAGACGTATGTAACATTATCAGTACCTGTCCAATAGAACAAACTAGTCTATCCAAAGGCTATCTTGATTATAGACGCTAGTTTACCAAAGTGTGACAGAATGTGGCACGTCACATGGACACGCTGCAATTTAGATAGTTTTGCATGGCATGTGTATCCGACGCGACGAGCACTTCCGAATACAACGCCTAGGGTCACATTCTTTAAACCTGCCTGGAAAGGAACAAGAAACTTACAGAGGTTCCAGTGCAAAAATGTAGCAGGAACAGTAACTCTTGCACCGAAAAACCACCTGAACTTACACTGCAAGGTCCGACAGAACTTTCAGTCGCATGATGATCGATCGAAAAGCAAAACATCAAGCCAGCATCTTCCGCTACAGAACAATGTTCCAGTCCTTCTAGACAAGAGCTACAAGGGCATACTCTAAGTTTCAGAAATGAATCAACTGTGCAATACAAACTGAGCTACTTGTCTCCTCGATTCGCGTAAGATAACCCACACTGTGAATGTGGGGTTCGAGACTAAATATCAAACCAAAAACTTTAACACATTTTCACGAGCGGAGACGGAGGTCAGGAAGAATTACGGTTCTAACAACGAAGATAGCACTCTCAAAGACACAAATGAGCCCTCCTCATAGAATTTGCTTCTGACTGGCATCTTAGTAGGTGCGAATGGAGAGAAAAAGACAATGGCAGGCCGCGCTGAACGATTGATCTCTATTCACGAGAGAAGCACGGCGATAAATCCTCGATATTAACCTAAAGTTGGAAGGCGTAACTCCCGGATCGCTCTGAAGCATCCTGGGGAAGAGGAAACGACTCTGACATATATGAGCAGACCATGCCGCTGTGCCGTAGATGCATCTGAAAGAGCATAATCGAACTAAGCTAATAGAAAAGAAAGATCACAGCATCAGGCGATGGTTCATTGTGCCGAAATCCGCCATACATCCAACCTACATTAACGCTCAAGTATTTCCCGGGCACCCGGATAGCAGCCTTAAATAAACTTCCCCTATCAGCCGCTAACGGATCACAGCATGTGCAGGCTGCAACCAGGAACCACGTGGACTGTATGAATGAATGGATGTCCGTGCTCACCCCAAGCGCAGACGGGGGGGGGAGACAAACTTGGAAGGACCCAGCCCTATGACCGTGAGAGAGAGGGGAAGCAGAGACCCCGCCCGGTTCCAGGGGGGAGATGAGTCGAGACCGATCGATCGAGGTGCCAGGCATTCAAACTGGAATCTCGTGGAACCCATGCAGTCATCCACGCCCGCCCCCGCGCAGAAAGGAAGTTTGAACTGAGCGAGCGACCGCCCGAGGGAGGGGGAAGGCGCCCTATGACCATGATGGAGACGGTGACGTGTGGTCCCTATCGTGGAAGCGGAGGAGGAGCAGTGAGTGAGTCAGACTATCTGTCCATGGGGCTCGGCTCGGCTCGGCTGGCATCTAGTTGGCTTCTATTCCTCCTCCGCCTCATACTCCTCCTCCGTTCCCCTCGTCGTCGGGGCTGGAGGGCAGGGAGGGTTGGCGGGGATTGGGGGGGGGGGTATTGGGATTCATTTCATTTCTCCCTTTCCCCCTTCCTTCCACTTTCTCCCCTGGTTCCTCGGCTTCGGCCTCCCCTCCCTCTCCTCTCCCCACACGCGATGAATAGGATTGGTGCATGGATGTAGATATGAACGAATGGATGGATGTACGAATTAGAATTCAAACACACCAAAAAATTTATCAAATTTTATGTGTATTTGGTTTGAGCAATTTGAATCCTTATTTGAAAACAGGGTATTGTAGATGGAAATTGTATTTTACTTTGAAAGAAATGAAATAATCATAATATTGGTTATTTTTTTATTAAACGAATACCAGAAGAGTAATTCAATTGTAGAATAAAAAGTATGATCTTTCTCTTTCAAAGATTAGCATTGATTGCAAAGTTTAAGAAAGATATGTAATGTAGAATAAATATATGGTGAATGATTTACATGGTTTATTATTATGATTAAATCATTGGTTCCAAATAAATGTAAAACGAACTGATTTTTTTTTTTTTTATTAATATTCATTTTGTACTCATGTTCTACTACTATATGTCGCAAATTCCAAACAAGACATCTGTGTATGTCTCTCTCCGTATATATATATATATATATATACATTTCTACATCTAATATCTGGTTTGAAATTATTTTAAGTACAAATTAAACAGCAGTATTTATTATGTAATTCCTGATGTACAGAATATGTTATCAAACTTAAAATTTAGTATTATTGTATATGTTAAAGTAAAGTATATAAGGCTTGTTAATTAATTGAGCAAGTCAATATTCTTTTTTGAAGAGTTTTTTCGATTTAGAATGTAAATTCTATTTATTTTTATCTATTTTTATTGATTTAGAGAGTTTACTACCACATTCTAAAATTATTCAAGATTCAAATTTAATATCCATATTTTTTATTTATTATCATATACATCAATCTATTATAAAACCAATATGCATCTTTAAAAAACAGTTTATAAATATTCTAATATTCAAAATTTATGATAGTGCATGCAATGGATTTGTCTTGTATATTAATTAACTAATTTTATGAGTTGGAAAAGTTAATATTCAAAATGTATACAAAGCTGAATGTTAGTTTAAGGAGTTTAAAAATATTTTATTTTAATAGGAGCCTTCCTTTGAAGTTATAAGTTTAAAATTTGTTAATTTATCTTTAAAACAAACAAAGATATTTTTGTTGATATTGCAAATTTTGATAATTTTGATATATTTATATATATATAGTAAACAAGAAAAAGAATTATAAAATAAGAATATAAAACAATTATGGTTTTGGTTCATATATATAAACAAATAAATCAGAATATCAATGCTAAGAAGTCTTTACAATTCTCAAGGAGGAATTGTCTCACACTTTAGATGAAGGTAATGCAAAGTCATTAGCAATCTTTATTTATTCTAAATCAATGATATATTAGCTATGTTTATCCAAGAAACAAGCCAATTAACTGATGGAAGATACTTGCTGTCTCTATAAGTGTTTCCCCCCCCCCTTTTTTTTTTTTTTTTTTTTTTTTTTTTTTTTTTTTTTCTGGTTTGTTGGTGCAGACAAAAACCAAAGCTACCTTTGTTTTTTGCTTTGACTTTGTTAAGTATATTTTTCAATCACCTATGCATCAAGTAATACGTTGGTTGATGAAGTGGCGGCACTTTATGTTGGTTTAAGGAAGTCCAGTTATAAACAACTGTAGTATTTTGCAAATATATGCATGTGGGTTGGTTACAATAAACCGAAAATACTTTAAGCTTCTTCAAAAACTATGCATATGATATTGGTCACTTTTTATATAATTATAACAGTAATGCATGATGGTGTTATGAAAATAAACACAAAATATATAAATATTTATAAGTACAGAAATAAATATATAAAGAGTTATTTTTAATAAGATCTAAAAGAACATTCTTAAGATATTGAGGTTCATTAAAGCCCATAAAATTGTCAAAAAAAATGCCAAAAGTATCCTAAAGATCTACCAACTAGGGCATATATAGTGCTAAGAAGTAGAAGAATGTTTTAAACCAAAGTACTTAGAAAAATTTTAAAGAAAAAAATATGTTGCAAAGAATGTTTTTGAAGATCATGTTATGAAATGGTTGTGTTTGATGATATTTAATTGTAATTTGTTTTTGAAACAATTTAAAACATCTTCATAGAAATAGTTTTAATTCAACCATTTCTAGACGTCTCTTCCAAGGTTGTATCATTCAACATTCAGTCAATATTTCAAAAGCTCTATAGAAACTACAAATCAATACAAAAACATACTACAAACCAAAAATTAGAAAAAGCTCAAATTCTTACTTTAATCGAAATATATAATATCTATTATAGATTGAAAATCATTTTACCCATATGATTTTAAAGAATTACTTTTAAAATACTATGTAAGAACATATAATAACTAAAACTATGTGATTGAATTTTAATAAGTTGGATACAAGTTAAAATTTAAAATAGAGAAAAAAAGTTAAATTAAAAATAAAAAATTATTGCTTAAGATATATATATTTTTAGTAAAGGTAGTTGTGTTTATATGTGTACATCGATCTAATTATAATGAGTTATATTATAAATGACTTCTATAATGTGAATTTTTATTAAATAATTTTAAAATAAATTATAATGATATCATCAAATTATCAAACTGTGTAGTTTTAATTGAATAAAAATTTAGTAAATAAGTGCCATAATATAAATATTATCAAGTTTTAAATATTTTATAGTGTAGTAAAAAAACGAAATGATGTTATATATATATTTCATGGAATGTTTTTATACTTAGATTTCCTAATTCATATTTTAGTTAATTTTTTTTACATAAACGGAGAGCTATATTTCAACAGGAAAAGATCTAGATATGTAAAATATTAATTTTAAAAAATATAAATATAAATATTGTAAAGTACTCATTTTTTATCCTCTTCTAATTTCATAATAAAATTATTGGAAGTTCATATATATATATATATATATATATACATATATATATATATATATCTTTGGGATCACTTTCTTTGTTTTTAAAATAATTTATCAAAGTAATGAGACCATAAATACTTATGGGAGACAGAAAAAAAAATCTATGTAATTATGTTTATATCTTATATATATATATATATATAATAACAAAATCAATATTCATAATGCCTCATGTTTCTGTAATTATCAAAAATGTCACCTCTGATAAAAAAAAATAAAAAATAACAAGATCAATGTCACATGCCAAATACTCTAATCTAAAAACAATTTAAACATTAAAATTTGACATGAATATTTTTTTTTAATGAAATTACCAAATAATTAGAAATAACATATGAGTTTGTTGTTAAAATATAAATTTCATAATTACTTTGGTTAAATTGCTAAACGAAAACCTCAACAATAGGCACTATTTGTTAATGTGGTTTTAATTTAATTTTAATTGTAAATTATTATCTTACATAAATGTTCTACCTGAGTAAGGTAGAACATTTAATGCTCTGGTCACTCAGGTCAATCAGAGCGTGGGCCAGAGCAGAGCACAGAGTAGCAGGATTTCAGGATATGCCGAGGCGTTGCGACATGCATCCCCGCCCAAAAAAACACATACAGCAATGTATGTGAGTCAGGGTCCGACTCCTGCTGCCAGTGCCCCCCCCAGCAGAACACCTGAGGCAACCACACATAGTTATGCATATACACTCGTACAGAAAGGGAGACTCCCCGTGACACTCAGTGCCAGTCTCGGCTCATCAATGCCCTCCCTCCTGCGTCTGTCCCTCCGGCCTGGTGGCATCATTTCAGAGCAGCAGCAGTAGCACACCAATGGAGTAGGAGAAGAACCTGTTCCTTGCTATGCAAAGAGGGTGAGGGAGGGAGACAATGTGGAGCGAGCATTGGTGGGTGTTCTGGATGGCCGGCAGATCTAATGATCAAATGGATGAATATATGGATGGAGGTTTGTGGGTGGATGAATGAGTGAGTGACTGAGTGGGGACGGGGAGGGGGGTGGCAGTAGTCTCGTCAGAGGCACCACAACTACTACTGCTGCCTGCTGCCTGGTGGTGGTGACAGAGACCAGCTGGGTTCGGTTTGGTCCTTCCACCAGCTTTGTGCCTGTCATTCGTCTTTCCCACTAGCATTGCCCCCCTCGTGTCATCCACCGCCCCATCCACGTGGCAACCCCATCGACCATACTACTTATCACACTCTCTATCTCTCTGTGTGAGACTGGCCTCCTCCTCTTCCACCAGACTGTTCTGTTCTTCATTGCCAGACTGTCTGTCCATGGAAAAGAGACATGTTTACTTACTTACTGCCTCCGACCACCTCCACTCTACATCTCCACACCCACCTACTTCCTCACAACAGGAGGAAACTACCCTCAAATACTATCTTTATCTTAAAAATAAATAAAAATAATTTA